TAAAACTTGTACTAATAATTCCCTAATTGAAATTGCTAAGAAAGAGCTGGGAAATGGTCTTTTGAAAACCTTGCTTTAATTTTTTGAAGAAATATTGAAATTATTGCTTCAAACTTGTAACCTTCTTATGTAAAAACACCTAAATATGTCACATAAAATTTTGTTATATATAAGTATATACGTCATGCTTGTGTGTAGACACACACACACAAACATGTCTATAAAAATTGTTTTTCTATTTTTGTTTCTACATTTAGCTGTAAGTTAGTGCTAGCAACTCACATTGCAGAAGTTTACATTTAAAAGAGTTTAAAGAACTAAAAAGCATAGTCAGTTGTTCTCTTAATGCATTTGTAATTAGATGCTGTCTTTCTTTGCTTCTTGGTATTTCTGTTGGAGGACTAAGGGGAGCTAAAATAGTTTCAGAAATAAGCCAGTGTTTAATTCTTTTAAAAAAAATTTTATCGTTGTTCAATTATTGTTGTCCTCATTTCTCCCCCAATTGAATGCTTGTTCAATTACTGTTGTCCCCATTTCTCCTGCCCTACCCACTTCCAGCCTTCTACTTTCAGTCCTCCCTCCACCCCCATTGTCTTTTTCCATGGGTCCTTTATACATGTTCCTTGACTTAACCCTTTCCTTTCTTCCCCTTTTATCCTCCTTCCCCACCCCTCTGTCAGTTTGTTCTTTATTTCCATGTCTCTGGTTCTGTTTTGCTCACTTGTTTGTTTTGCTGATTACGTTCCACTCATAGGTGAGATCATATGGTGTTTGTCTTCCACTGCCTGGCTTATTTCACTCAGCAAAATACTCTCCAGTTCCATCCATACTGTCACGAAGGGTAGAAGCTCCTTCTTTCTTTCTACTGTGTGTATTCCACTGTGTAAATGTACCATAGTTTTTTGATCCACTCATTTACTGATGGGCACTTAGGCTGTTTTCAGCACTTGGCTATTGTAAATAATGCTGTTAGGAACATTGGGGGATATAAGTTCTGCATATGTCTAATTCTTTCAAGGAGGCCTCATTGTTGAGTATCTTGCTGGGAAATTTGGAGTGCTTGTTGCAAAGTTTCTCTCTACTCTAGTAGGGACACTGCTTAAGTCCTTGCTTTGACATGTATGAGTTTATGCTAACAGGTCGGGAAATTAGGCTGAAGGTTGTATTGGCTACATGATAGACTTCCTGGTCGGTCTGGGAAGGAGGAGGGACTCCTGCAGTCCTGTGGTGGAGAGGGAGCACGGTCATGTGAGTTTGTAGTTGTCCCCATCTGTCATTTGGCTATTGTTTTCTTCTTCTATTCTTCCATTTTCTCACCAACTGAAGTATTCCTTATTTTTTCACCTACTAAAGCTTAAATTTCATAATATCATCTAATATTTTGAATCTTCCTAGAGCATATAGTAAATATTCTATAAATATTTAGATAATAAGATTCAGAATCTTTGATCACTGAGTGATGGACAAAAAAAGAGATTTTAAGGTGGCTTTCCTTGGTCTCTAATTTCTTCCCCTCCCTCCTCTGTCTCTCTTTTTCTTTGGTAGGGCCATGGTCCCATGTTGCTCTAAATAAAATAGTGTGCATTAAATGAGCACATATCAGCTTCAAAAAATAGATCTACATGAGCATGTGTTACATGTATGCTGTAAAGATTATTCCATTTTTATGAGAAGCTTTAGCCCCTACAGTTGATAAAGTAAAAATATAACTTTCTATAAGAAGGACAACTTTAATGGGGAAAGGGGCCTTCATCTGTTCTGTTTATGATCTGTTCCAAGTGCTTATCTCAATGCCTAGAATGGGGATGATACTTGGTGGAACCATGGTTTGAATGAATGAAATGGAGGGAGGTTGGGAAGAATGAAAGGAGGACAGATGAGAGGAAGGAATGATGGGTAAATGTTTCCAGGTTCAGCTTTCAAAATACCTTTTTCATGATCAGGGTAATGTTGTTCTTGGGTAGCTGGTAGTCGTGGACATCAGTCTATGAAGTGGCCACTCTGACCATGACAGTGGGCCTGTTCCTGCGCAGCCTCCTGTTGCTGACCCCGGCCAGGCAGCCTATGACTCTTTCCAGAGGCCCCTGTTTTCAGGAAGTTTTTTATTCTCTGCTGCTCTCAATGCTCATCAACTGTTTGTCTCCACAACTGTCCTCTTATAGACTACATTTGTAGAAATATCTCACATTTAGGAATATCCCTGCATGTCTTTCTTCCTGGGTATTGTCAGTGAACAATATATAATAAATTTATGAACAGGACAAAGTTTTATTTCTGTTCTCCCACTGGTCATCTTCCTAGTGTGTTTTGTATTTCAGTTTGAATACAATGTGGTATCCAGTCTAGCAGGTGTATCTGCGGTAACTGCTCATCTAGGAGGCCCCTGGAACACTTCCATGTGCGGCTCTGCTGATTGCTTTCTCTAATTACTCATCTGCTGCACAAACAGATAGTGCTAGGGTTGATGTGTTCATTCAGGCAACACGTACTAGCAAAAACATCATGATATTTGGAATCAGAAAGATTGGGTTTTAAAGTTATGTCTATGATACACTCACTGCATATTCTTGAACAATTAATTACTTTGTATTTAAATCTCTTTGTTCTTGAAATAGTTCATTCCTGAGGGATTTTTGCATGAACTAATAAAATAAAATAATGGTGTGATATCTGTTTGTTGTATATATTGTATTATGTAAATAGTAACTTATAGTTACTTTTTAAATTGCAGTTTTTATGGAGATAATTGTGGAGTCTGGTACAGTGGTATAGATTCCTGTGTATACTTTTGCCCAGTTTCCTCTAATGGTAACAATGTGCTAATTTAATGTGTGTAATATGACAACCAGAAATACTGACGTTGTTGAAATCTATGAAACTTTCTCAGATTTCTCCATCTAACCTGTATTTGTGCATGCATATTTAGTTTTTAGTTTTGTGTGTGTGTTTAGTTTTATATAATTGTTTTCACTTTTTTATTGTTGTAAAATACAAATACATAAAATATATTATTTTAAGTTGTCTTAAATACATTCATACATAATATTGTACAACTGCTGCCACCATCCATCTCCCAAACTCTTTTCATTTTATAAACTGAAACTGTAAAATGGTAACATCCTAATCCCCCTTTCCCTTAGTTCCCAACACCCACCATTCTATCTTTGTCATTATGAATTTGACTACTCTGGGTCCCTCATATAAATGGGATCATATAGTCATTGCTCTTCTGTGACTGGCTTGTTTCACTTAGCATGATGTCCTCAAGATTCATTCATGTTGCAGCATGTGTCAAAATTTCCTTCTTTTTTAAAACTGAACAGTATTCCATTGTATGTATGTACCATCTTTTCCTTCTTCATTCATCCTTTGATGGACACTTGGGTTGTTCCCATGTTTTATCTATTGTGAATCATGCTGCTATGAACTGTACAATTGTATTACTGAGTAGGCGTATAACTACTGCCACAGTGAAGGTCTTAATGGTTCCAACATCATGAAGATTGTCTGTTTTGTTCTTTTGTAACCACACTCATCTCCCTCCTTCTCCCTCCACCCCTCACCCCTAGCCATCAGTAATCTGCCCTCCCTTTCTAAAATGTTGACATTACATAAACAGAATCATGTAGTAAGTAATCTTTCGTGATTGGCTTTTTCATTCAGCATAATTCTTTGGAGATTCATGCAAGTTTTGGGGTATGTCAATAGTTCCTTTCATTGCTGAATAGTGTTCCATGCTACAGATGTGCCATAGTCTGTTAAATCATTTACCATTTGGGTGACATCTGGGCGGTTTCCAGTTCAGGACTGCTATGAATAAAACTTCTGTAAACATCTGTGTGCAGGTTTTATATGAATGAAAATTTTATTTCTGTAGGAGTGCAATTGCCAGGTCATATTTTAAGACTTACCAACTTCATATTGCCTAGGCCATGGTCTTCCCAGTGATATGGTTTCCTTCCGTGTATGTATGGGGGTTAAAATAATGTCATATGGAGTTTTTTTTTACTCATACCCTGACAATGGACACCTTTAGATAGTCATGTTGAGAAAATTGCTAACCTTCTTACTTTTTTTCTCCTTTAGCTTCAATTTCTCTGAAGATGCTCTACCGTCTCAGAAATGCCATTTATTCTAAGATCCCCAGAGCATGTTGCCCCTCTTCTCTTGTCCAGCTTTTCCCATGATCAAGCAGTTGCTACAGCCCCTCTGATTTCACCACTGCAGAGATTTTTATATCATTCCCCTCTGCCATCTGAACTTCAGCCTTAGCATAGCCTTTTCTCTATATTATTAATAACAGTGCCTTTTCCGGAATCTTCTCTGTGAGTAGAGCCTTGGTAGCCTGGTCAGAGCATATCTTCATAGCTGTAGGTCCAAATTCTCCTCTTCACAGCCGTGGTCATATTCACCGTGGAGTTCTGCACATGCCCTGGAAGGAGCCTTACTGTCTTCACGCTGTGCTGGATGACAGTGCAGTGTGAAAAGAGTAAGGCACAAATGCTGCCTCCTCGTGAGAGGGCCTGTTGGTGTATGTTCTTACAGCGTTCTGTACTTTTCTTCCATAGCACTTATGGTGGCTTTTAAATTTTACTTGTTTAAAACCGAAGGTCCCACCTGGCTCAGTCTGGTCATAGAGTCCACTCAAAGGAGTTGACCAGGAGTATGTTACCTGAAAGCCTCCAGCAGTGACTTTGAGCCTATGTCTGCCAGTGATCAGCTGTAAACCACGGTGCCCCCTCCTTCCTTCGTAGGTTCTTGAGGGGGGTGCTATGCTGACCCACCCATTCACATTCACCTCCCTGAAAACAGGGTGTGGGTCTTACTTATCTTGGTAATCTTGGAACCTAGAGCATTGTCCAGATATTAGGTGTTCCCTTAATGTTTGTTGGAACTATGAATGAATGAATGAGTGAAACTACCTATCTCTCTTTTGGAGACATTTGGTAAAAGTCTGACAAAATAAGTGAATGATGTAAATTTTCTTCTTAATTTTCCAGGTGATTTTTGAAGTAATAACTTCTGGACATCAAGGCTACCTTGCTATTGATGAAGTGAAGGTGTTAGGACATCCATGTAGTAAGTTCTCTTAACCTTTAAACATTCGGGTACGTTGTTGGGGGAATACTTACCTTACAGACTAAGAGAAGACACAAAAACCTGGGGAGCAGTACTCCTGCTGAGAGAGTTCCCTGACAAGTCTCTAGGTGTTGCTTTGCCAGCCCAGAAAGCCCCAAACTTGTATTCTATGTGCTATGTCATCAAATTTATCTCAGTGTCTTTAAAATGAAAATCAGGAACACAGACTACTAGAGTACTTTGATATGCTCACACATCCTTGTGAAGACTTTTGGATTTCCCTTTTGAATAGTAGCACAATTTTGACATTGAGAATCTGTGCATTTTTGTCCTAATTCTACTATGATTCTGGCATAGTTCCAAACAATATAGCCCAAGCAGGCCTGGGATCTGGTGAATGTAAGAAATCGACCCAAACCACCTGGGGACCCCAGCAATGAATGGCCTGTTCTTCATCTTTTACAAGTTAGTTCTTTAAAAGAAAGTCCAATGAGTGATAACACACACTATTGTTTTTACCACCCCATATGAACGAATAGCTATTAATACTTTGCTATATTTGCAACTGAACTCTGTCCTTAAATCAATAAAATACTGCGAATTGCCAGCCCCACTCCTCCCTCACATCCCCAAGGGCCACCACAGTGGTGAGGTTGCTGCTGCCCCTCTCTATCTGGGAGGTTTCTAGTCCACAAGCTGCAGAAACAGATGTAGCTGATTTAGGAGAAAAGCTTTGCGTTGACAGGGAATTGGATGGCAAAAATATCACTGGGAACATTGGTGATCTGTGCTCAGATGATGGGCAGGAACTGGAAGGAGGTTCTGCAGGTACAACCGTGGTGACTGATATGCCAGACAGCTGCCCATGAGGACAGGGTGCTTCCGCCTGCTCCTCTGGCCCCCTGACCTTTGCAGAGTGTCCCTAGCCACCTGCCCGAACATTTGTCACTGTCCCTGTGCCTTTGTACCCTCAGTCTTTGGCACAAAACCCTGAGTGGGATTGTCAGGGTGAACAAGCTAAATCATGTGCTCATTCTCCTGCTAGCCAAACAGTTATCTAGAAAAGGAAACTGGCTTTTACAGCTTCTATCATGGGAGCCATGCCTAGAATTTACCAAGAAATATACAGGGGGGAATTTCCCAGTCCCAGAATAGAGGTTTGGGAGCTGAGCAACCAGCAAGCTGCATGTGTGCGTGTGTGCCTGCATGCATGTGCACTGTCTCTCACACTCACTGTGTATTCATAAAAAGAAAGAAAGTACTGCTTACTGTTTGTAAATTCCACTGAATGGTATCCAATGGTACAAATTGCTCTATTCTTTCCCCCCATTTGGCATTACATGTTTTAGGTTAATCTATGATATTTTGTCATATCAATGTAATACATTTTATTTTTTTATTCTTCTAAAAACATTTATCCCCCCCCCCAGTTTTTCCCCAGCAGACAAACACTGCTGCAGTGAACATCTGTGTGCACCTCTCTGGGTGCTGTGTGTGAGAGCAGGGTTTGTTCTTAGAAGCAGAATTGCTGGGGTGTAGGGTAGAAACGGTTTTAGTTTTACTAGATGCTGCAGAATTGCTAAGAAAAGTGTCTGAGCCAGTTATAGTCCCACCAGCAATGAATGGAAGCTTTATTTTCCCAATATTCTTGCCCAAAATTGATGTCAGACTTTAAATCTTTGACCAGCTGAGAGATGGAAGCTTACTTTATTTTTAGGCTCCCTGGCATTAAAGAGAAACTGGCTAGTTCAGACATCCCAGGATCTCTGATGATGGTCCAACCAAAATCCACAAAAGAAAGATTATATCTAAATGGTATTAGAAATATAAACACTGCTTTTATTGCATGGATTGACTAGATCATGAGATCATTCCTTGTACTAGTTCCTGAGAAGCCCTGTGTGGTAATGTGGGTATCACGATAGTCATCTGATTCCATCCACAGGGGTTTTACTCTCTCTGCAACCTTTACCTGGTTACAACACTGAACTTCAAGCACAGAAACCATCTTGCTCATTGCTGTGGCAGACATCACTTTTATAATACTTTGCATTTGCCTTTTTTTGTGTCACCAAGACCAGTGAGTTCAAGAAGAATTTGTGCCCCCTTGCCTTTATAAAAAAAAGTTAGAAAAATAAACAATTCTGTACCAAATTAAAACACCAGGAAAAATTTAGTTGCTCATAATTACCTGAGTTGATGGCTAAATCCTTGGAGTAATAGCCTTGGGCTTAGAGGACACACATGGGGTGTTCTAATGTGCAAAAACATTGCCTCTGACTCACCTCTTACCAGGAAGTAAAAATCCGAGACAGCACTAGTGAATGCCTACTATGTGCTCAGTGCTCCCTGTTTCTCAGAGCAAATCTGCCACAAGGCAGATGTTATTGCTGCCCAGGGAGCAGATGCAGTAGCCAAGGTCAAGTTTTGCACAGGTCTTTTTGATAATGAACCCTGACTTTCTTCTATATCTGACCGCTGGCCAACAAAATAACTCTTAAGTGTAGCTTCTCCTATTCCTTAGGCTTTGAGTCTCTCCCTTCAGTCATATGAAAAGATTTAATATGTCCTTCTTTCAGAGCCTTCCTGAAATGCGTCTCCTGCAGTTTTGTTCATTCCTTCCAAGCCCAACTGCTTATGGTCATATAAAGGTGTTTATGGTCTCTCCTTTGGAGAATACTGGGCTAATACCTAATTGGCTTTGCACACTGCTGTTAGGAGACACAGAATTGCAAAGTGTGCTCTGTACCAAGGTGAAGTATGGTACAATAGCATTTTGAACTGTAAGCTCTAAATGGCTTTCATGATAGCCCTTCTGTATTTTTTTTATGATCTCTAAGTTTATGGGGAAAACATGCAAATAAAGATTTTAAAGAAAGCAATACTTTGGTCATTAAACGGAGTACTTTACAGGTAATATTTTAAGGAATTTCCTATCAAGGTTTATAAATAAAAATCCTTATTTCATATCCAAAACTTTCCTTTTCAGAAGATACAAACTGCTGAACTTTATTTATTTCACTCTAAGGACTCCTGTTTGGATTCATGTAGGTTTATGAGTAAACGTTACAACATTTTTAAAAAGTATCTGTCCTGTCATGAATATGTTGCTCATTAAATCGATTCTAGTCTAGTGACAGATGCGGGATCAGCTTGGAAATGCAGAAATGGCCACGCAGACCGCAGTTCTCTGGCTTCAGACCACTTCTAATGAACATAGATAATTTTTGTGTTTGGTATGCAAACTAAAAATATATTTTGAATTTCGTTCAATAATCCTAGTAGGAGAAACTGAAGAAGCATTTTATCAGCTTCATACTGCTGTTTCCTATTTTTAAGTAGGTTATAAACTATAAATATATGGGTATTTCTATTGTTACCTGTGGTGCTGATGTGTATTTTTATGTCTGTTAAACCATTCAGCATTTTAACGGATTTATTGAAATATAATTCACATATCATACAATTTACCAATTTAAAGTAATCTATTTAATGGTTTTTAGTCTATTTGCAGAGTTGTGTAACCAATCCCATGATCAATTTTTGAACATTTTCATCACCCCAAAAGAACACCTATACCCATTAACAGTCATTCTCCTTTGCCCCGGCCCTACCCCAGCCTGAGCCACCCACCAATCTACTTCCGTCCGTCTTCATATTTCATGTAAGTGCAGTCAGACAATATGCAGCCCCTTTGTCTGTCTTCTTTTGTTTACATAACATTTCCTGTTTCATCCATGCTGTGGAGTGTGTCAGTACATCATTCTTTCTCAAAGCTGGGCAATATTCTGTTGTATGATATACCACCTTTTCTTTATTCATTTATGAATTGATTGTCATTCCAGTTGTTTCCAGCTTTTTACTATTATAAATAATGCTCTAAGAACATTTATGTGCTGACTTTTACTTGACATTCATTTTTAGTTCTCTTTTGTATACTTAGGAGTAGAATTACTGGGTTACCTGGTAACTTTTTAAAAATACTTTGAAGTCCCTTTATTTTTTTTTACTGTAGACACTATTACAGATGTCCCCCATTTTCTCCCACTTTGCTCCACCCCCCCTGGCTTTTACCGCATTATTGTCTGTGTCCACGGGCTGTGCATATATGCATCCTTGGAGATTATTATGCTGAGCAAAAAAAGCCAGTCAAAAAAAGACGAATACCATATGATCTCACTCATATGTGGGATCTAATTAACAAAATAAACTTAAGAGCAAAGTAAAACCAGAGACCTGAATACATGGAACAGACTGACAGATCTCAGAAGGGAGGGGTTGGGGGTGACGAAGAGATCACCTGGGAACTTCCATGTTTAGCACTTTAAGGAAATGCATATTGCTTTTCAAATCACCCGTACCCTTTACATTCCGAAGAGCAGAGTATGAGGGTTCCAGTTTCTTCATATTCTTGCCAATATTTGTTATTATCTGTCAACTTTATCATGGCCATCCTAGTGGATTTGAAGTGGTAGCTCTTTGTGGTTTTGATTCTTTAATTGCTAGTGATGTTCAGTATCTTTTTATATGTGCTTTTTGGCTACCTGTATACCTTTTATAACTATTCAGATCTTTTTCTATTTTTAATTGATTTATTCATTTTTTTATTATTGAGGGTTTTTTAAAAGATTTTATTTATTTATTTTTAGAGAGAGGGGAAGGGTAACAGAGAAATATCTTACCAGTTTCCTCTCCCACACTGCCAACTGGGGACCTGACCTGAAACTCAGCTGTGTGTGCTGACTGGGAATCGAACCAGTGATCTTTGGTTCACAGTCTAGCACTCAATCTACTGAGCCACACCAGCCAGGCATTATTATTGAGCTTTAAGAGTTTTTATAATATATCTGGTTATAAGTTCCTTATCAGATATATATAATTTGAAGATATTTTTCTCCAATCTGTGGTTTATTTTCTTCAATTTTTTTGATGACAGCATTTGTAGCACGGAGTTTTTAAGTTTGATCAAGTCCCATTTTCTATTTCTTTCTTTTGTCACT